TGGTCACACACTACAATCAGCACACACACACACTATGAGCAACTTAGCCAGAAGCAGAGACAAGGCAAATGTTTCCGGACGGTATCGTAAGATTAGTAGTAGTTTTATTATTTGAAACGTGTAACACACACAACACACATAATTATAATAATCACACACACGATATATATATAGTAATTATAATATAATATTATATATATTATATGATATATAATACATTATAACATCCTTTAATAAATCCAGTCCCGCTATGTGATGCTAAAAGTATTATTTAGCAAATCGCTGGAACTTTGTAGATTCACGGGTTATTATTTTTAGCTGCTAACTAGGATTCCTGTGGTTAGGAGATCGATGATGATTAGAGTCTGTATGTCTATCCATGATCTTCAATATATATATACTATATATATATATATAATAAATGTCCATTATAAGTATTATGACAAAAAGCGTAATAAACTCCATGTTAATAAGCTAGTGCTTTCATACGCGCAATATATAAATCAGGTAGTATTACTGTGGATAAAAAAGTAATGTTGTTTAGTTTATATCTAAAAACCAAAACGCCATTCAAACTGTGTGTGTGTGTGCTGCGCGTGTTTGACTGTATTTTGTGTTGGTCCGTCTGGCTGCCTAGAGCATGAGAAAATGATCAGGATGTATTATTCTGTCAGAGAAGTAGGAATGCGGATGGAGGATGGGGTAACACGATGTAGTAGACACATGTGTAAAAGGTGAGTTACGGCGTGTCGCATGTGCGTTCGCGTTCCTGGACCATTGTAAGTGCGCACTGAGCGTCGTGGGATTGTAAAGCTGCAGGTCACATCAAAGCGTGCTGTTGGAGCACGTGTATGGTAGCTGTATTGATAGGAAGGCATGGCGGATACCGGACAGTAGCCGATAGGACAGCATTTCTCCAAGGCTCATCTCTGGTCGAAAATAGAATCCTAAGGACCGATATTACAGCTGCTATCAGTTTGTCATAGAATGTCCGCAATTCAAATCAGCGTATGAATCCGCCTTTCATTTTATTAATATTATTTAGGTGTGAGTTCGATCTGGCATGCACCGACATCAACCTCGCCGAGAACCTCTTCCTAACAGTAGGTTCTCAGCGCGGGCAGTAATTCTTTCGCCCATGTTATTTTTCCAATTTGCTAATCCATTACGTGAAATCTTGTTACAACCAGAGAGTTAAAGAAGCAAGCCAGGGCAACGCACTCTATAACTTGAGGCCTCCACTCAGCTCACCATACACCAGCCCACCACGCGCGTCACATATAAACTACCAATACGAACATGAACTCACACTAACATACATATATAAATTACCACATGTACTCCCGCATAACGGATTAGCAATAACCCTAACCAATTGGATAAAGAAAAGAAAGAGCAATACCAGACGCGCAGTAATGGCTTGGGGTCCAAAGCCAGAGCGAAGGTCTGGCTTTTTATCCACATTAGTAAAATTAAACTCAACATCCTTTTCGGTTCAGTTCTGCTAAAGAAGACTTCGAATGACTTTCCCGTGTATTGCCTGGCTACGAGGAGGGATGTTCGGGGTACTGTAAAATTACTAGTAGCTTTTTATTCAAGTAACTAAAATAATAATAATAGTAATAATAATCTTAAAATCAGTCCGCAGTGATGCTAAAAGTAATATTCAGAAATCGCTGGAACTTTGTAGATTCTCGGGTTATTATTTTTAGCACTACTAAGATTCCTGTAGATACGATGATATAGACTGCTACCAAATGTCTATAGTGCAAAAGCGAAACATTTATAGCTAGGCCTTCGAAACAGGGTATCTGGAAAAGATGTATTCTAACGTTCACTCTGTATATGCCTTTCAAGAGAAAATCAAGGTGTATTTTCTTAGAAAGGAAGAAGGAAGGGTAAAATTAGTAGACATTAAGAAGTATTTCGTTGAACATTGTAAGTTTTGTAAAGGCAGGACCACAAAGCTGGAGATGGTCTGAGGCGACGCTGTGAAAAATCTAACAATCGCAAATCCTTTTTATATTATTCTTAATGTATTATCTATTTTGCATTATTTTCATCTAATCATATACAGAATATTGAAAAGGCATACACACATACACCAATACATATATACATACATACACATACATACATATAAATACATACATGCATGCATACATACATACATGCATACATACATACATACATACATGCATACATACATACATACATACATACATACATATATACATGCACACACACACACATACATACATATATATACTATATATATTATATAATATATATATATATATATATATATATATATATATATATATATATATATATATATATATATATATATATATACGTATATATATATATACATACATTTATATACAAACATGCATATACACAAATACAACATACA